CAGCTGGCGCTGCGCCGCCGAGGTCCGCAGCGGCGAAGGACGCGGAAATGGCGAGCAGGCTAGAAAAGTCAGGAATAATATGATGATGAGGATATGCTGAATGAGGGTTTTGATGTCGGGGCAGCAAGGGGCCGACGAGAACGCGGGCGGCAATGGGCCCGAGCGTGCAGGCGAGGGGCAGGTTAGGACGCGGATGAAGTGCGCGCCAGGTAGCACTTGATGGGGTTTGACACCTCCAGTTGCGGGGTTGGCTATCCGGTGCCGAATTTGGATGCGACCGCAAGTCGCTGGAGGTCGGAGGGCAGTGGGGGGCTGCGGCAAAGGCCAGCACAGCGTGCAGTCACAAATTTCAGAGGCCCGCTCGTCAGTCTGGATAGTTGGCATGGCTCCGCGCCCAGGTTAGCCATGGATTCAATTGCATGCCATGAATTTGGGCCCCGTGGGAGTTGATCTGCGAGGCGATTAGGGCGGGGGCGAAGAAGATCATCAAGAGCAAAGCAGCATCGCTGTTGATTTTAATCGGAAGTCCAATGTTCGCAGCCGTCAAAAGGCTGTGGGCATGTAACTCGACGCGCATGGGTGTGGGAAAGATGAGGGGGGTGAGTTCACGGGGTCGCGCACCTCGCGTTCGCGTTGGAACTAAGTGAGATTCAGAGAAGCAGCGGCTTGTATTTTCTGTTCAAACACCTTGCTGTAGCATTGAGCTGGGCACGTCGCCGGCGCGGAGAAGTTCGAAACGCGATGGTGTGCAGACATGATTCATGGCGATTTGTGGTGCTACACATTGAAGCAGGTGGTAAGAAGGGGGGCTGTGCTCGTGAAGAGACCCGCGCGGTCCATCACCAACGGCCGCTACGTCGGAAGGGCCCGCAGGGCGAAGCGCCGATGTCAGCGTTGACATGTCGAGTTAAACGGAGGGGGCGTAACGGAGAATGCAGAGGTATATCATGACATATTATGTCGAGCTATAGTTGAGGGCTTAGATGGCCAGGTGACGGCAGATGATCGATTGGGGCGTTTCTGGAGTCTTTTGCGATCCCGAGGTCGATGTGAGTGAATAGAAGACGGAGAAATGGATATTAATGAGATCGGGTACGAAAGGAATGAATGCGGATATGGGGCTGCGGTAACTTGGGCCAGAAAAAATAACTGTGCATCTCGCCTTGTGCGCCCTGGCAAATCAGGGCCAGCATGGAGTGCGTGCCTGCGCAGAGTCACTCGAGACTTGGACACCGGCCAGGTACTCAAGGACAGGGAGGTCGGCGAGGTTAGAGGAAAGGGGTGGCGCGGAGAGTTTAGATGGGGATCCCCCTGCCGGTTTGCCCGGGACAGCCGGTCGAGCCGCTGGATTCGTGGAGCGCGCCGTCACAGGGAGTGGTTGAAAATGCCGGGGGCGTTCGGGGCGCGCGGGGGTGTCGCTGTGGTGCAGCCGGTCACCAGAGGTGACGCATGTGTAGTTCAGCACGAGTGTGGAAGAGTGTAGGCGTCGGATTAGGCGCCAGGAAGCGAGCTTGATCCAGAACTCACGTTAAAGGCTCGGGAGGTGGATGTCGGGCACTTTAGGAAAGTCATTGGGGAGGGAATTCTGGGCGGTTGCTGGCAAGGCCGCCCGCTGGCACGAGGTGGATCGATATCGACGGAGGGGGTGCGGCAAATCCGGAGTGCCGATTCCGGCTGGTAGCCCAGCGGGTTAAGCGGAATTCCAAAGCAAAGAACTTCTTTGCAGTCGCGCCTCCATTGGAACCCCCAAACATTTTATTTCAAAAGGTTGTTGCTGAGTGGATAGGGCAGATTAGTGGGGTACGTGCGAAAGTGCTAATGCTGGCGTTTATGGACGTTGAACGGGCTTGCTTCGTGCGCTAAGGCCGGAAAGGTCATGTTCATCCGGTTGCCCGAGGAAGATCATGCGTTGGGTTTTTGGAATATTTTTGAAGTCGATGCACGGCGCTCGGGGCGCCACAGGCAAGTGGGACAATTGTCCCATGTATTTTGCACGTGGCATTTGTTAGACAACGGTATGTATGTATGTATGTATGTATGTATGTATGTATGTATGAATGCATGCATGTATGTATGTATGTATGTATGTATGTGTCTGTATGTATGTATGTCTGTATGTATGCATGCATGCATGCATGTATGTACCTGGATGTATGTATGTATGTATGTGTGCGTGTATGTATGTATGTATGCATGCATGCATGCATGCATACATGTATGTATGCATGTATGTATGTATGTATGTATGTATGTATGTACGTACGTACGTACGTACGTATGTATGTATGTATGTATGCATGTATGTAATGCATGTGTATGTTTATAGGTTCATATGTATATATGGTAAGGCGGAATCGGCAAACTGCGCATGGTGGCGGTGCTGGGCAGTGTCGTTGATCTTGATTGGATCGAACAAGAAGCTCGGCGGGCAGTTCAAGGGGGCATCCAGGGAATACTTGGGCCATGGTCATAATATCTGAGGACGACCGATCATATTGTTAGTTTTTATCAGCGAAGTGAGGAGGTGAACCAATATGGTTTGCGGTGCGAGGCGGGCCAAAGGCATGCCGATATAGCCGTTGAAGAGTTGGGCTTGGAGCCCAGTAAGTCGTGGGCCGCCTGGCGAGAAGCAGGCGCGCAGTTCTCAATCGAAATAATTGCGCATTCTATGGCGGCGCCGGCCCGAGGAGCGTAGGCAACTGTGGTGCAAATGGGAGAGTACCCAAGAACCGCGACAGGTGTGGGTATCCGTATATGTAGCATGAACGTACTATAGAGTCAACCGCATGGACTGACGCCGGCTATGCTGGTTGCAACAAATCACGTAAGCCGACAAACCCTGCAACAGTAATGTGGGGATCACATATGACAGCTCAGTGGCGTTCCATTCCAAGCGTAGTGGCAGTATCTTCTGGAGAAGCAGAGTGTTGCGAAACGGTAGAATGCGGTTCAGTAGCGTCGGGGCTGCCATCAGTTCTCAAGCATGTCGATGTTGATTGTGGCATCCCATGAAAGAGTGACGCCAGCTTTTAGGGGAGCAGGTACGACGAAGAGATATCAAAGTTTTCGAAGGAGGAACTCATGATCACCTGGCATATGCTTTGATTGGATGTTTGAGCAGGGACAGCCTGTTCGTGCATATGCCAGGTACCAATCAACACCTGGTTAACGGGAGACACGTGTTGGCATCCGCCACAAAGTGCGAGCTCAATCATTATCCAGATTATCTTCGCGAGCGGGTTTACCAGGGACTTGAGCTCAGGATCAGTTTAGATCCAGGCGCTCGTTTGTTCGACTTGAACCTTTACTACTTTTCCGTTATGGATGATGCATGGTTGGGTAATTTGCGACATTTCGAAATCATGTATCGCATGTTAGGAGGCCCCATCGCGTTCATCCGAGGCCCGAAAACCATCGCGTCACTAATTTCGGGCCCCAGGGCCCACTGAGGCCCCAGGGGCCCCAGATTAGTGAAGTGATGTTTTTTTGTCCATGTAAGGACCCCGAAATCCATCACTTTACTAAACCGAACCCAGGACGAAAGTCAGGGGCCGAATAGCTGCTGTGATGCAACATAAGTCTCGTAGTTCACGCCGAAGTCACAATCGCCTCTGCCTGTACCAGTCATGATTCCAATTCTGGTATTTTACTTGATTTGCTGGGGTCGAGTCCTGGCTGCGCTGCGTTGCCCAGTGTGTTCACAACTCGTTGCCCACTCTTCTTTGCGATTCATGTCTCGCCCGTTTTGACATTCTGCTCATCAGCCGATGGGGGGGTGTTAAATCGTAGCTTCACGACTTGGTGGGAAGGGTGCACCTGTTCAGATGCAATGTGGCAGAACTGGGATGTTACTTTCAGGTCCGTTTGGAACCACATGCCACGCCGCGGGCGCTTGGCTCAAGGGCTACGACCTCCTCGCGAAAAAACTCCTGTCCGATTTTCAGGAGGACCTGGAAGGGATCACGCAACAGCCACGCCGCTCATGCTCGCCTAACACAAGGAATATCTGGATGGCATTCTTACGCGCCCGACTTGGCGGGATATTTCGGGCGCTTTCTGCCCATGTCGTCTAGGGCGATGTATCAGCATATGTTCGTACTATATCTTCGGATCGGATGTGCGCCTCCAAGACGGGCGCATAGTGCTAAGATGGTCGTCTGCGTCTCATTGCCACCCCCTGTCGTCCCGTCGGGCTGATGTCAAGTAATTTTCGCCCCTCCCCCCCCCATACATCCCCAGATTGACGGCCGAATTTGAAGAGGGGAAGGAGGAGGACGAAGACAGGGAGGGATGTGCGGAGAGCTTCGCCAGGAGGGCCGCCGATGTTGCCAAATCGAAGGGCCCGCTTCTACCGATCGGGCCCGCGTCCGCCCTGGGAGTGCCCCCCTCCCCCCCCTTGCGGCTATCAGCGGAAAAACCTAGCATGCACTTTGCGACCCCCCTTCTCGCGTCCAGTGAGAAAACTTCGTATGCACTTCGCGACGGTGCAAGCTTTTCCTGCGACGGGAAGCCTGGCCAACTGCCCTGGCCAGCCCAAGTAATTTGGCAAACCCTCCTGGCCAACCTTTTCCGGCTAGCCCTCGTCGGGGTATTTTTCCAATCGGTTGGATCATCGCGGAGGTTGTTCGGAGGACAGGGGGGGGTTTGAAGGGGATGCAAAGGTGGTGATGCGTGGCTTAACCTAGCTAATAATTGGTTTAGAAGCGCCCTCAGTGGTTCAGGGTGATTCGGCAACTCCATCATCTGGGCTCCATCCAGGACTCCATCCATGTTGCCCGGATCTGCAGGCCCTTAAGCCATTCAGGGCAGTTGCGATCCACTTGTAGCCTAGGCCAGAGATAGCCCACCTTAGTATCACTTCATAACCCCCCTGTTCCCGTAGCGCCCCCCCGCGGTGATCGAAGAAGTATGTCCTGCGTCCCGCTGGCCGCCCCTGCCGTCCTGTCGGGCCCGCGGTCGCTCTTCGAATGCCCGCCCCTCCCGCTGGCTGCCGGCCCCAGGTCTCGTCCTTCCGGCCCCCGGAGGCGACGCCCGAGCCCGGCGGCGCCGGCGGCGGCGAGGAGCGCTGGGTTGCTGCAGCCTGGCCGGCCGCAGACGAGAGAGTCCTTCGCCTGCTAGTGTGGGGGTCAGCCTTCTGGGGGCCAGGGCAAGGCAAGCTCCATTCCTTGAGCTCTCCTTGTTCGGGGCCGTATCTGTCTCTCCGGGCACAGCAAAGAACCACAACCACAGCTAAGCGGATTTGTCGGTAGGGCCCCCCGGGGGAGTCTCCACTGACCTCCACATGAGCATTTTGATTGTGGTTGTGGTCGATTTTGCCGCCCTGGGACGCCACATCGACCACAACCAGTACGAAGCTGGTTTCGGTGTTTTTGACAGTTTCTGGCATCCCCCATGGTATGCCCTCCATGTGGGTTTTTGTTCGCCTGCTATCTCCGCAGTCTCCGAAGACAGCCCCCCCTGGGCCGTTCCTTGGTCGGTTCTCTGGGAATCCTTCTCCTGGGCTAGCATTTAAAGAAGGAGGCGGAGGAGGAGGAGGAGGAGGAGGAAGGAGGAGGAGGAGGAGGAGGAGGAGGAGGAGGAGGAGGGAGGAGGAGGAGGAGGAGGAGGAGGAGGAGGAGGGAGGAGGAGGAGGGAGGAGGAGGAGGAGGAGGAGGAGGAGGAGGAGGAGGAGGAGGAGGAAGAAAAAAATTTGGACGCCACAAGCTTGCTCTTCGGTACGAACCATGTCAGGAGGGAGGAGGAGGAGGAGGAGGAGGAGGAGGAGGAGGAGGGAGGAGGAGGAGGAGGAGGAGGAGGAGGAGGAGGGAGGAGGAGGAGGAGGAGGAGGAGGAGGAGGAGGAGGAGGAGGAAGGAGGAGGAGGAGGAGGAGGAGGAGGAGGGAGGAGGAGGGAGGAGGAGAGAGAGGAGGAGGAGGAGGAGGAGGAGGAGGGAGGAGGAGGAGGAGGAGAGAGGAGGAGGGAGGAGGAGGAGGAGGAGGAGGAGGAGAGGAGGAGGAGGAGGAGGAGGAGGAGGAGGCGGAGGAGGAGGAGGAGGGAGGGAGGAGGAGAGGAGGAGGAGGAGGAGGGAGAGGGAGGAGGAGGAGGAGGAGGAGGAGGAGGAGGAGGAGGAGGAGGAGGGGAGGAGGAGGAGGAAGGAGGAGGAGGAGGAGGGAGGAGGAGGAGGAGGAGGAGGAGGAGGAGGAGGAGGAGGAGGAGGAGGAGGAGGAGGAGGAGGAGGGGAGGAGGAGGAGGAGGAGGAGGAGGAGAGGAGGAGGGAGGAGGAGGAAGGAGGAGGAGGAGGAGGAGGAGGAGGAGGAGGAGGAGGAGAGAGAGGAGGAGGAGGAGGAGGAGGGAGGAGGGAGGAGGAGGAGGAGGAGGAGGAGGAGGAGGAGGAGGTGGAGGTGGAGGTGGAGGTGGAGGTGGAGGAGGAGGAGGAGGAGGAGGAGGAGGAGGAGGGAGGAGGAGGAGGGAGGAGGGAGGAGGGAGGAGGAGGACCCCCAAGTGGCAGGCGACAAGGGAAGGGCCTCGGCCTCCCCTCGCCGAGCTCCCTTCCCCCTCCCCTCCGCTGGAGGCAGCCCTTTGCAGCGGAAGCCCGTGCCAAGAAGCACCCTGCTGGCCTCCAGGTCGGGAGGGAGGGGAAGATACACAGGCACAGATCAACGGCGCCTTCCAGGAGGCTGTGGGAGCTTCCAGGAGGCTGTGGGAACCTGTGGGGAGTGGATGGGAAGGCGAAGGCCCAGACAGCGTGGGCAGAGTAGGGGACATCCTGGAGTCTGCGTGTGTACAGTGGCAACCACTGCCAATAAGCACCCTGCTTCCCCCCCCCGTCGCCTCCCTCCCTCTCCCAGAAATCCAAAAATAAAATTATTCCGGCGAAGGACCCAACCATGTGCAGCTGTGTGTAACGCAAGTGTGGGTATCGTCCTCGGTGAACCGCCCTCTGGGGCCACGACGCGTGTGACGGGGGTGCCAAAATTGGCACGGGTACGCCATGCGGGCGCTGCCACCGGAACCGTCGTTGCAGCCCCATTTGAGGCCACGAAACATGTGAGGGGTGCGCGGAAATGCAGGGTGGAACCACGTGCGGGCGCTGCCACCAGGGCCTTTGGTGGCCGCGAAACGTGGAAACGGCGTGCCGAAATGGAGGTGGAACTGCATGCGGAACCTGCCACTGGGGCCCTGAGTGGAACACTCCATGGGGCCACGAAACGTGTGAGGGGTGCGCCGACATGGAGGGGGGACTGCATGCGGACCTGCCACGGGGGCCTTGGGTGGAGCACCCTATGGGGCCGCGGAACGTGCGAGAGGTGCGCGGAGATGGAGGTGGAACTGCATGCGGACCCTGCCACTGGGGCCTTCGGCGGAGCACCCTATAGGGCCACGAAACGTGTGGTGAGGGGTGCGAAGAAATGGGGATGGAACTGCCTGCGGACCATGCCACTGGGGCCTTCCGCGGAGCACCCTATGGGGCCACGAAACGTGTGAGAGGTGCGCGGCGGAACACCCTATGGGGCCACGAAACGTGTGAGGGGTGCGCCGAAATGGAAGTGGAACTGCATGCGGACCCTGCCCCTGGGGCCTTCGGTGGAGCACCCTATGGGACCACGAAACGTGTGAGGGGTGCGCCGAAATGGAGGTGGAACTGCATGCGGACCCTGCCGCTGGGGCCTTCGGTGGAGCTCCCTATGGGGCCACGAAACGTGTGATGGGGTGCGCCGAAATGGAGGTGGAACTGCATGCGGACCCTGCCACTGGGGCCTTCGGCGGAGCACCCTATGGGGCCACGAAACACGAAACGTGTGAGGGGTGCGCCGAAATGGAGGTGGAACTGCATGCGGACCCTGCCACTGGGGCCTTCGGTGGAGCACCCTATGAGACCACGAAACGTGTGAGGGGTGCGCCGAAATGGAAGTGGAACTGCATGCGGACCCTGCCACTGGGGCCTTCGACGGAGCACCCTATGGGGCTACGAAACATGTGAGGGGTGCGCCGAAATGAAGGTGGAACTGCATGCGGACCCTGCCACTGGGGCCTTCGGTGGAGCACCCTATGGGACCACGAAACGTGTGAGGGGTGCGCCGAAATGGAGGTGGAACTGCATGCGGACCCTGCCGCTGGGGCCTTCGGTGGAGCTCCCTATGGAGCCACGAAGCGCTGTAATGGGGGGGTGAAACGCAGGGAGGAGGGGGGAGAGGGAGGAGGAGGGAGGAGGGCGAGGAGGGAGGAGAGAGGAGGAGGAGAAGGACGCGGGGCACCGTCTCTTCAAAACGAGGACCCAACACCACAGGATGGTTGGGAAAAATTCAAAAATCCTGAATCAGAGATGCAATCCCAAAGTCCCTCCCCCCCTGAAAACACCTCTTTGCAGTGGGAACCCATGCCAAGAAGCACCCTGCTTGCCTCCGCCGACGTTCCCCACGCCGGCGTCGCCGATGCATCTCCGACGTCGCAGGCGCATCGGCGATGCATCGACGATACAGCGGCGTTGCATCGACGACACATCGGCGCGATCGGCGCGCGATCCTTGACCCCGCCTACTCGGACCCCATTGAGGAGGCCTGGAGTTCTTCTGTCCCAGGTCTGGCCGTAGACCCCCTCCCCGCTGGCCTCGGGGGCTGCCTGGCAGGGGCGGGTGGCCCAGGCCAGGAGGGAGCACTGCAGTGGAAGCCCATGCCAAGGAGCACCCAGCTTGCCTCCAGGGTGCCCCCGAGTTTCTTGGGCCTCCATGGTTTTGCGATGGAAAGCGTGAAGTTCCCACACCAACAGTCAATGGACGCCCTGGGGTCACAGGGTTGGGCTTCTTGTGGAAGGTTTCTTGTGGTCGAGCTCCTACTTTCCCCCTGGCGATAGCGGGCGTGGCGGGGGGGGCAGGGCAGGGGGGGAGGGGGCCGGTCACGTCACGATTCGCGGCGGTCGGGGATCAAGAGACGGGGGTCAGTGCAAATGAGGGTCAATCGGAGCGCCGCATCTTGCAGGATCTTGCGGGGCCAGGGCCGCATTGTCCTGGGTTTGGGTGCAGGGTCTCGCAGGATCTTGCCGGATTTTGCAAAAAGGCCGATTGACCCGGGTTTGGATTGACCCGGGTTGGGATTGACTGGGTCAGTAGATCCCCGAGGCGGTGCCGTCTAGGAATGCCTAGGAGTGGCTCATTCCCAGGCGGCGCCGGCGCGAGTCGTGACGCGACCAGGGGGGAGGGCGCGGGGCCGGGCACGGGGGTTGTCGCGAATACAACAAAAGGGCTCCTCCCCCCTTCCCCTCATTGCTCAGAGGACGACGAGGTGCCGATACCGCTGCCCTTGACTCGCTTTCGACTTCTCTTGGGCATCCTGGGTGGTCCTCGTCGCCACGGCTGGGTTCGCCTCGAAGTTCTGGTCAGCAAGCGCCCTTGGAGTGGTCCAGGGGGTAACGGTATTGATACCTTGGGGTTTCCCCAGGTCCCTCGCGTCGTGAACAAAAACGCGACCGGAGTTTTGTTATCATTTTCGGCCTCCAGGGGTCCCCTCGCCCAGCCCCCGGGACCGTCAGGGCACGACTGAGGTTGAAAAGCCAGTCACAGTCAACGGGTCGAGACCTCTGGGGGTCGACGTTGCGAAAGAAATCTGACGTCGGGGGTCTGGGCCCATGACCCCGCTGAGGGCAAGTCTTATATCCATTGTCATTGTGCCTCGAATTTTCGGGCTTCCTTCCCCAGAACTCTGGAGGCGCAGTGGGTATGGATCAGATCTGGCCTCTAGCAAGGCTCAGTTATTATCCATATCCACTGCGTGGCGGGCTTTTGGCACCCCTTCCACAACGAAAATCCAAGACGCCGTGGATATGTCTGTGAATCTCGTCCGCGCCCGTCCTCTCCCCCTTTCCCTTTGCCCATCCCCTTCCGTCTCCCCTCCCCCGAGGGTGCGCAGAGGTGAGGGCTGTCCCGAGGGGGTGTTCAGGAACGAACGCAGCCGGATGCCCACATTTGCTTCTTCCAGTACGGGACCCAAAACTATACACCACCACCGCCACCACCTCCCTCAGTCCCTCCCCCTCCCTGGAAAGATGAGCGGAAGAGGAGGGAAGAGGAGAGAGGGGGAATAGATGTGGTGGTGGTGGTGTATATTCTTTGGGCCCGCATCCAGGGGTTGCTTGGAGAGATTTCCCCCTAAACCCCCACTTCTGCTCCTGCCTCACCTTTACGTCCCCCCGACCCCTCCGCCTCTGTCTTCCGTCCTGCGAGTCGGCACGCTGTTCTCGCCAGGCTCTTCCAAGCTGCCGCCGCTCCAGGGCGTGCTCTTATCGTGACGTCGTCATGTTTTGACGCCTCGCGTTTCCCCGTCGGCCCATCCACAAGCCGAGGAAGAGCTTAGCCCAAGCGGCCCGCAATCGTGGCCACCGTCGGGCCTTCTCGACGTACGCTGGAGGCTTCTGGGGGCCATCCTGGGGCTCTGTGGCAATCCCGCTGCTGGCCTCACACTCGCGGGGCTCTTTCTCTGGGCCCTTGGGGGGGTCTTCTGGGGCGGAAGAGTCGACGCCCTGAGCCACCTGCGTCCCTTGGCTCGCTACCGTCGGGGCGCTGAATAAGGAACCCTTTTTCGTTTGGGAGGGGCTCAGTGTTGCTCAGTTGTTTTTGCAGTTCGCCGCAGGTTTTTCTTAGGTATTCGATGGGAGATCGAAGCTGAACTCATGGAAAAGGGGGCCTCGTTCCTTAGGCTTCGTTAGGTCAACGCCCCGACTGTATGATTGGCACCGGCCATTGGGGGGATGCGGCCTCGGAGCCCTCTGGGGCCTGAAGAGCGCGCCCGAAGGCTGGTAGCTTGATCACACAGAGAGCAGGGGGAGGGGGAAGGGGGACGAGGAGGAGGAGGAGGAGGAGGAGGAGGAGGAAGAGGAGGAGTGACTTGTCGTCGCGTCTACCGCAATTGCATCAGACAGGGAGGCAGCGGCCATCTCTTTCCTCCGCTGGGGTGCTTTGCCGTCCTGGCCCGACCAGCTTCGATGAGGAGGAGGAGGAGGAGGAGGAGGACCAGTGTAAACCGAAGACTCATCAATCATGTTGCAGTAAACCCTCCCTCCAAGTTTCCTCTTCACAGGTCCCTACGAGGATTTATTTACACAGTGGAATGTGGCCCGGTGGAAGAGAACCGGCTGAAAATCTTCAACCATGCCAGAGCACCAGTCCTGGGACTTTCTACGCCGCGAGTCAACGTTACTGCTGCGTCTTGACGATCCAGAGTCGTGCAAGAGCACCATTTGGAGTCGTGCTGACCATCTGGAGTCGTGCTGAAACGCCCTTTCCAGAATCCTTGCAGCTACTGAAAACTGTTAGGGTGTCTATGCGCGGCGCCAAGGCGAGAGCCACATTCAGAAACACGTTCCCTCCATCGGTGAAGCTTTCCAGCAGCATTTCAAAACGAACGTGCGCGGCGCTACGGCGAGAGCCGCATTTTGAAGACGGCCCGCCCTCCGTAGGTGACACGGTTGCAGATTTTCAAGACAGATGTGGGCGGCGCTAAGGCGAGAGCCACATCATGACAACAACCTGCCATCCGTCCATGACATTCGTGCACTTGTTTAAGACGAACGTGCGTGGCGCAAGGGCGAGAGCCGCATTTTGAAGACGGCCCTCTCTCCATCCGTTGTAAACTTGTAACACGAGTGTGCGCGGCGCCAAGGCGAGAGCCACATTTTGAAAGCGACCCGCCATTCACGTGAAATTCATCCACTTTTCAAAGCGCATGCACGCGGCGCTAAGGCGAGATCCACACTGTGAAAACGGCCCGCCCACCACCCGTGAACCTCTTGCAAATATCAAGCCACAGGATCATCAAACGGTGAGGAAGTCCCATGCGAAACGCTGAGCCCGCTCTGCCGACTGGTCTCGGGGTACGACACGGAGGGTTCATCTATGAGGAAGAGGGATGGAGGAGAAGGAGTAGGAGGAGAGAGGGAAAAGGAGGAGGCGAGGAAGAAAGGAAGAGGGAGGACGGAGGAGAAGGAGGAGGAGGAGAGGATGAGAAAGAGGGATGGGGGAGGAGGAGGAGGAGGAGAAAGAGAAAAAGGGGACGACCAGGCCGCCAGGCCCCGATGGGCCGAAGCCGAGGGACGCTGATCGGAGGACGAGAATCGAAATTGTGCTCTCAGGCAGAGACGTCCAGGCAAGAGGGAAACGCCCTCCCCCCCTCCCCCTCCCCCCCTCCTCCTCCTCCTCCTCCTCCTCCTCCTCCTCCTCCTCCTCCTCCTCCTCCTCCTCCTCCTCCTGCCCAGGATTGCCTGCAGAAGTTAGGGACCCATGGTGCAAGTGTGCTGAGTCGAATCCAGACTGGACTCCACCCTCGTTACAGGAAGAACCCTGAGGGTGTGGAGGCGGTGGCGCCTGCCAGAGCGCCGCCCAAGACGGAATTCCTTGCCCCTCCAGGCCCGCTGGCTGCTGGTGCCTCTCGCTTGGTCGATTCGGTTCGACTGCGAGAACTGGCAGCCCGCATCAAGGCCAAGGAGGAGGCATCCAGGCGATAGCCGATGCTGACGATGACGTTCTGCCAATGGGTCGTCCCCTCCTCCTCCTCCCTCCTCCTCCTCCTTCCTCCTTCCTCCTCCTCCTCCTCCTCCTCCTCCTCCCCTCCTCCTCCTCCGCCTCCTCCTCCCCTCCTTCCTCCTCCTCCTCATCCTCCTCCTCCTCCTCTCCTCCTCCTCCTCCTCCTCCTCCTCCTCCTCCTCCCTCCTCCCCCTGCTGCCCCTGCGGGCGAGGAGTGCTACACTCTGTTGGAGACGCCCCGCGGAAAGAGGCCCAGTGCGCCGCCGGCGATGTCCATCGGCCCGCCGGCAGGGACCGTCCGACAGGAGGCGCGGTGAACCCCCTTATGGGACAGACCGGCGAGGCGAGCAGGGAGCAGGAGGAGGAGGAGGAGGAGGAGGAGGAGGAGGAGGAGGAGGAGTGGAGGAGGAGAGATGAGAGAGGAGAGGAGGAGGAGGAGGAGGAAGAGGAGGAGGAGGAGGAGGAGGAGAGGAAGAGGAGAAAGGAGAGAGGAGGAGGAGGAGGAGGAGGAGGAGGAGGAGGAGGAGGAGGAGGAGGAGGAGGAGGAGGAGGAGCAGGAGGAGGAGGAAGCGACGAGGCGAGCAGGGAGGTATGCGCAGACGGGGAGCCAGGAAGGAATGGCTTGCTTCCTGGAGACAGCGGGGGGTAGAGGCATTAGTCTTACCGCATACCCAGAGTATGCGGTTCTTGTTGCCAGTGTGAGGCCCCCCCGCCTCCTCCATTCCCCTTGTGTCCCCTCCTTCCCGATTTACTTGTGCTCCGACCACTCATGTGCAGATCCACTCATACTCAGATGTGCTCACGCTGAGAGCGACGCTCACTCAGACTAACTCACACTCAGACTCATTCCGTTTCAGGCCAGATGTTCTCGGGCTCCTCCCTCCCCCATCCCTTGTAATGCATAGTGTGTAGCTTGTCGCGACAAGTTGTTCCATGAATCAAGTTTCCTAGAACTGCTGCTGGAGCGTGATGTGGTAGTTGAGTCTATCTCGCTTCCTCTCGTGCTATGGCCGAATCCTTCGACTTGATCATCGCTTTCGCTGGACTCAGTCCCATCGTCGTATTCAGATGGTTTTCCGATTGTCGTCATTATGTGTGCAGCGTCTGGATATCTAAACATTCATACGAAACATGCGTTTCTTGCTGCTGTGTATTTGCTGTTCGACACTTGCCATCATAGTCCATCATGCAGCATCGTACAGACTTGTCGGGGCCACCGTTTCGCGGAACAGCCGCCAGAGGGCGTGGAGAGAATGCGATCTGGGCATGAGCTTCAATTCGAACATCTCTCAAGTCTCTTCCAAGGTGCCTTGATTCGCGCATCCACCTCAAATTCAGTTGATGCGAACATGTGAATACTCTGTCCAGGAACTCCCAGTACTTACCAGTGAGCGGCAGAATCTCGATGCAAATACCATCGGCCTATGTGTGCTCTGGCTTCCTACGTGAGGTATGGGTTTCCACAATGTGCTAGATTATGTTCTTGTCTGGGTGAAGGTGTAACGCCACAGGGTTTGCTGCATCCACGACTTTGGAAAACATCCGCTTGACCCGAGTGGTTGACTTCCCGAGCACTATGACCTCGTCGGAAAACCGTGCTTTGTCAACGTCGAATTGTTTCCAACCTGAACTGTCAATCCGTATGTTCTTGACGCCCGCATCGGCTGATCTGAACACATGCCCGGAAACACAACTAAACAGCACTGGACTCGGCGGATCGCCTTGCTTCGTGCCGCGCTTTATGTTGACCTTCCTGCAGGACCTGGCGGCGTTGACAGTTGCTGTCTGGCCGGACCGCATGTGTGAGATTGCCGATTTGGGAGCGCCCTGCGCTGCCACAGCCGCGCCCTCGAGCCTCCCCTCCCTCCTTCGACTCTCCCCCAGCTCCCTCGGTCTGCCCCCCTCTTCCCCCTTTTTTTTTTTGTTTGTTGTTTGTTTTTCTCTCTCTCTCTCTCTCTCTCTTTCTCTCGCTCGCTCTCTCTCTCTCTAGCGCTCGCGCGCCGCCGCTGCCCTCGCCAAAGCTCGCCGACCCCCCTGGGGCCAGGCGGAGGAGGAGTTCTACGACGCCTGCAGCGAGGCCGCCCGCCCCGCGGACTCAGTGCCCGCCCGAGGGCGCGGCAGCCGGCAGGGGCACGCGCGCGGTGTGGGCGCGGCATGCCGCCTGCCTGCGTGCCACCACGGTGGGCCGCGCGAGCAGCGAGTGCGCCGCTTGTGCCGGGGGGAGTGGGCGGAGGGGGGGAGGGCGGAGGGGTGGGGGGCGGAGGAGGTGTGGCGGGGGCGGAAGCCGCCGCATGTCAGGGCGAGAGGTCGGGCCCGTCCCTCCTCCCCGGCCACCGCCCCTCGCCGCCGCATCGGGCCCCCGGGGGTCGGTGGGCCGGCGGGCCCTCGGAGAGCTCTCCGATCGAACTGCCCTCGGGCTCTTGGGGGGGGGCGTCCTCGGAGGCTTCCTTGGGAGGAGTGGGGGGGAGGGGGCCGGCGGAGTGAGAGGGGTGGGCGGCCCAGGGGCGGGACTGTGCGCCTTCGCCGCCAGGGGGCCTCGGCGAAGACGCGGCGCGAACGGAGCCCCTGAGCAACAGGGCCCTCCTCCCCTGCTCCCCCTCTCCTTCCTCCTCCCTCCTCCTCCTCCTCCTCCCCCCCCTCCCTCCTCCCTCCTCCTCTCCTCCTCCTCCTCCTCCTCCTCCTCCTCCTCTCCTCCTCCTCCTCCTCCTCCTCCTCCTCCTCCTCTCCTCCTCCTCCTCCTCCTCCTCCTCTCCTCCTCCTCCTCCTCCTCCTCCTCTCATCCTCCTCCTCCTCCTCCCCTCCTCCTCCTCCCTCCCCTCCTCCTCCCTCCCCTCCCTCCTCCCTCCTCCCTCCCTCCTCCCTCTCTCCCCCTCCCTCTCCTCCCCTCCTCCTCCTCCCTCCTCCCTCCTCCTCCGAGGGGGGTAATTAGGACCGTCTCCGGCGGCCGCGGCTCGCCGAGCCGCGAGGCGCCCCACGGGGCCCCCGGGGGGGATGCCCGCGGGGGTCGCCCGCCGCGGGCGGCGGCGGCTCCGGGTCCCGCGGAGTGCCTGCCGCTGGCGCCTGGGGATCTGCACTCGCGCGGTCCCGCGGGCCCGCTTCTCGGGGTCCTGTCTCTCTCTGGTTCGAGGAAGGAAGCCGTGTGTGAAGACCGCTCCTCTCCTCGTTCTATCCAGCTATCCTGCGGTCCTATCGGCTCAGGCATTGGATATCCTTTGGATTGGATGGGCTCCCGTTCCTCTTCGGGCGCGATGATACAATATCTCCATCTTTTCTCATCGTCCTGTACCTGCAGACCCCATGGTAGGTTTGACCCTCTGGTCGTTAACCTCCGTTCACAGGAAAGCAACATACAGTTACATTTTTGGAGCTCCGCGTGGATTTTTTGGGTCGGCACCTGGAGCCCCCTGGCGTCGCCTCCGGCGCCGCCCTTGGCGCGCGGAGCGCGCCAGGGGGGCTCCAGCCCCGATTGAAGAAATCCGAAGGGACCTCCGGAAGGTTAGGTTATTCCAGTTTTTGCTTCCTGTGCGAATGCGCGCCTTGCATCCCACACCTCACTTTCGCACGACGCACCAGGCGCACGGGGCCCTGCATTGGCGCCCTCAGAACCCGTCCGCGTTCTTTGAGGTCCTTCCCGGCGAAGGTCTTGACGCCGGGCTTGGTCGGCTTCGCCTGGCACGACGAAAGTCGCTTCGCTACCTTTCTGCAGCAGGAGCTCCCGTCGATGGACCACTGGCTCTGGTCCGCGGCGCGCGGGCGGGGCAGGTGCGGTCTCCTCACGAAAGATCTCGCGCCCCAGGCCCTCGCAGAGGTGGCGGTGTTCATGAGAGGGGGGTTGTGCGCGGCTGTTTCACGAGGCGTCCTCGCTCGCTTGCTCGTCGCCGCCCCGCTCTCTTTCAGTGTCTTGAGGGTGGGTTTTGGGCGTCCATTTCATGAGGCGTTCTCGCTCGCTGGCTCGTTGTCGCCACCCCGCGCCGTTGCTCGTCTCTGCACCCGCGCTGCTTTCAGCAGGACTGCCGTGCTCATTGCAGTTTTCCCTTCGCAAGAGCCTCGAATGTCGGACCCGATTTATCGAGCGTAAATGTTTCCTAGCCAGGCCTGCGCGCCCAGATGGTTCGTATACGTATTTCGTGGGGTGGTGGGATCCATGCGCGTGTCGGCATGTATTTGTCGGCATGGATTCCAGGACATTTGCTGATTGTGGGTGTTGTTCGATCACGCTGGCCGCATCTTGAATACAGAAGGCCAGCTTGTATCAGCGCAGTTCTTCGCCAGCACCAGTCAAGATTGGCAGTTGTCGCTTTACCTTAGTTTGGTTTGGTTTGGTCCTGCCCGAACGGCACATCGAGGCGTGTTTTAATATCGAGTTTGGCCGCTCTAGCTCGGCTCAACCCATCATCGTTCGTTGCCGTACGTCTCACGTGTAATTTCGGGAGTGTTGCATGTTGTCGTTTGCAGTCACTTGCAGCGCCGAACCAGTATGCTACTGCCACCACGTGTGTTCGGCATTATGGAACCACCTAGAATGTGAACCTGGTCGATCTATGCCTTGGGCGGTGGATGGGGGCAGGGGGGCGGTGGATTAATGTGGAGGACTGACTTGGAGGATGATGAGGGGGGATCAGGCTGGGAGGAGGATGAGGAGGGTGAAAAGGAGGACTGCGTTGCAAATGAGGGGGGGGGGCGGAAGAAATGAGGAGGAGGACGAGGAGGAGGAGGAGAAGGAGGCGAGGAAACAGGGAGGGCGCATACCCACTCGCCGTGAGAGTGCTCGCCCAGAAGACCGCTCTCCCGGAGGGCCGCTCGCCCGGAAGACCGCTCGCCCGGAGGACGGCTCGCCCGGGGGACACCGATCGCCCGACAGCCCCGACGGTCAGGCGGGTCGGGCGGGCCCGATCAGAAAGGCCCAGGAACGGGATACAACGTCCCAGAGCTTTCTGGAACGCTCCGAGAGCGTTCTGGAACGCTGTGGAACGGCCGCGGCGCCCGATGTGTATTTCCCGAGCCGACGCACATCAGGGATCCCTGATTGGCTTCGTCTTGCTTTACTGGTTGGGTGGACCCTATCAACGGGCGTGTCGGGCGTGTCGGGCGGGCGGGCGGGGCGGGGCGGGGCGGCGGGGGCATCAGAGCGGGCGGGCCTTCCTCCACGCGGGCGAGAGCGGGGTGTCGGAGCGGCCTTCGGACAGAACGGTCTCCTGCCAGGGTACGGGTACATCGAGTTATTGGGAGAGAGTCTGGACGCCCGAAAGGGGCACGGAAAGAATGGGTGCTATGCCCAACAGCAGTTCCTGTTCACTTTGAACCAGATCCGCCGTCCACGCCGCCGCGGCCTGTGTCCATTCGGGACAGAAGGCCGCCTGCCCAACAGCGGCCGCTGTTGGTTTGGGACAACACTTGTTGTTGGGCATCGTACCCATTTTTTCGGTACCCATTTCGGGCGTCCAGAGAGAAGGAGACAGCCACGCCACATGCGCGCGAAGCCGAATGCAAAAGCCTGCAGAGCACGCGGGAAGCGGCCCGGCGGGCCACGCAGGGACGCCGTGCTCCACGTTTGGCTTCCTGCGCGTCTGACTGCAAGCCGCTTGCGGGGCCCTCCTGGGCAGCATCCGTGACTTCGTCCGTATCTCGAAGGAGGAAAACGGCATAAGCATAGTCGATGCTCCGCGCGATTTGATTGGATCGGCGTTGGGCCCCCCTGACGGCACCTCTGGCGCCGGCCGTGGGACAAGCACTGCACAAACAGAAGCTGTCGGAGGTGCGCGCGGATTTCTTGGATCCGCGCTGAACCCCCTCCCTGGCAAGCTGAGCGCGGCGGGGGCGGCGCTAGAGCTGCCGCCGGGGAAGCCCAGCACCGATCCAAGAAAACCGCGGAGCTCCGAAAGCCTAATGTTTAGTGTAACTTTTCTGCAGTTTGTCCCGACAGAAGAGTCCCACAGGGGGTGGCGTGGAGCCGTAGACCGCCAGGCCCAGCAGCCGTTTTTCCCGAGACGTCGTCAGCATCTACTCTGGAACCGTGCTCTGGCGCGCAATCTATTTGGGAATCGTGGTCCGGACGGCCACGACCCGTCGTCACATACGCGCGGAGGTGCACACCGCCGTGCGCTTCCGGGGAGCGCCCCCCATGGCGTGCGCACGGCTGGCCTGCTGAGCTCCTCGACCCGCCCCTCCGCCTCCGCTGCTGCCGGGGTGCCTCTCTGGGGCAGTCTGCCCCTCCGGCCTCTGGGCCGCCCGCCTCCGCGCTCCGCGCGCCGCGCCTCGGGAGGAGGAGGATGAGGGGGAGGAGGAGGAGGAGGAGGAGGAGGAGGAGGAGGGGGAGGAGGGAGGAGGAGGAGAGGAGGAGGCAGGAGGGAGGAGAGGAGGAGGAGGAGGAGGGGAGGAGGAGGAGAGGAGGAGGAGGAGGAGGGCGGGGGAGGAGGGAGGAGGGAGGAGGAGGAGGAGGAGGAGGAGGAGGAGGAGGAGGAGGAGGAGGAGGGGGCTCGGGCCTCGAGCGTGCCGCGCCGCCGGCCGTGGCCCGCCGTGCCTCGGAGCGACGCGCTGCCCGCGCCCCGGAGCCCGAGCGCCACGGTCCCGAGCCTCCCCATCGGCCTCGCGGCCCCCGCGGGGCGGGGACGCTCGCGCTGCCCGCCGGCGGCGGGCCCCTCGGGGGGGCACTCGGGCGGGGTGGGCCCCCTCGGGAGGCTCGGGCGGCCGCTGGCCCCCCGAGACGTCTCCCACGGCTCCTCCGCAGGCCGCGGCGGCCTCTCCGCAGGCCGCAGGGCCTCCGAGGAGCCCCGCCGCCCTTTGCCGAGGCCCGCCCCCTCCTCGCTGCCCCCCTCGGCGCGCGCCGCCGAGGCCGCTTAAAAAGGCGCCGCGTGCCGCCGCGGGCCGCCGCCGCGGCACGCCAGGCAGCAGCTCCTGGTCCCCCGCCCCTCGCGCCTCGCCCCTCGCCCCTCGCCCCTCGCGCCTCTCCTCGCCCACCTCCCCGCCCCTCGCGCCGCCGCCCGCGCCCCTCGCGCCGCTGCCCGCGCCCCGGCGCCGAGGCGGCGAGCGAGTGCAACAGCCCGCGGGGGCAGCCCGGCTGCAGGCGCCCCGCCGCCGCCGCCGCCCGCCCGAGGGCGGCGCCGCGCCACGGGGGGCCGTGGCCAGCGGGCGCGAGAGCCCGGGGGCCTGCGGGTTCCTGGCCGGCAGCGAGCGAAGAGAGTTGTGGTGTCGGCGTCAGGGGGGCGCCGGTCCCGGGGCGGCCCGAGAATTCATACCTCCGGGAGGGCCGTCGCTCACAGCTGCTCATGGGGTGCCTCGCAATACGTTTCTCGTCCCACTCGTGGCCCACACAGTCCCCACTAGTGGCCGGCCAATGCCCCGCTAATGGCCCCACTAATGGCCCCACTAATGGCCCCGCTCACTGCCCACTGATGAATTTGACCCTCTAATGGCCCACTCATGAATTTGATTCTCTATATGATAGTGACCACGAAGGGC